ACACAGACACAAACACAACACAGACACACACAACACACACACATACAACACAGACACACAACACAGACACACACATACAACAGACACACACACAACACAGACACACACATACAACACAGACACACATACAACAGACACATACAACACAGACACAAACACAACACAGACACACACAACACACACACATACAACACAGACACACACACATACAACACAGACACACACACAACACACACTCATACAACACAGACACAGACACACAACACACACATACAACACAGACCCACACACAACACAGACACACAACACACACACACATACAACACAGACACACACATACAACAGACACACACACAACACAGACACACAAGCAAACCCAACAACAACCAACTCGACACATCCGTCAACAACACTGCGTGGCCTTCAAAGAAGCAAGTATATAATAGGCGACGTTTCGGGAAATGGTCCTTCTTCGTAGCGTGTGACTTTCAAACAAAGACGCGTCGTACGCCCAGTGTCGTGCGGTAAGTTGACGCATTCGTGTGTGCCAGCTAACGGCACTTGCCCCAACAGTCTGTTGCAGGCTATACGGGGAACCTTTGTCTTTGTGTGTCGAGAGCGGTGGGGTTACGAACCCTGCGCAAGGAGTTCCATTCCCATCTCTCAGACAACATCGGTAACGAATATCTGAACCGGTCCTGTGGCCTCCTCCTAGGTCGACTGAGCATAAAATGAGAACCTGGTGCAATGTGTGAAGGCGGCCGGGCGTGGTGCCGGCCACCCACCTCCTCGTGTGCTGTACCGGCCTTCATAGGTGCCAATGGCTAACAGCCCCAACAATCTGTTAAGGCGAAACGGGGGATCGTTGTATTTGTGTAATTGTGTATGTATATATGCGAGTGTGTATGTGTGTATGTGTGTGAGCGTGTGAGTGATTGTGTGTGCGTGCTCAGCACAATGTATCCGATGAAATGTTCCGATCGCGATGTTTAAGTTGTATTGCGGTAGATGTAGCGGTACGCTGCGCAACAGCAACCCGAGTTCGATTCCCGTTCACGGCCACCAACACCAGCTACGATTATCTGAACCGGTCTTGGGCCTCCCCTAGGTCGACTCAGTCTCAAATAAGTATCTAGTGCCATGACCACCAGGGAGACAAAGGCGACCGGGTATAGTGCTGGCCACCCACCTCCAAGGTATGTTAAGCTATACGGGGGGGGGGGGGTGAGGGGGGGTGAGGGGGGGGGTCTTTGTCTTGTGCATGTGTGTTTTTAAGGCCATTTGTTTGGCCTAGGCTAAAAAGATATTTGGCCGAATGTCATTGCTGTCCAACTGATGAATTGACACACCTGTGAAACACACAGCCCCGCCCCCCCACCCCCCGCCCCACCTGCGAAACACACAGCCCCGCCCCCCCACCCCCCCCCCCCCTCTGCCCTTTTCTTAAAGGGCACGAAATGGTCGAGGTCAGCGAGGATCGCCGTGACCCCCCCCCCCCCCCCCCGAGGGACGGCGAGACTTCAGGGACTGACCAAACGGCTTTCAAAAGACACTCGCAGGCTTGATTATCGGCAACGCGACAGCAACAACAATAAAAATCTCCCCTTTAAAATGACACCGCCAGTTCATCTGCGGCCCACGGGGGCCTCGATCGTGGCCCCGTCGCTCGCTCGCCTCCCCCCACCCCACCCCGGGGGTGGTGTCCTGCTGACGCTGCTGCGTGTCCCGTGTTTGAGCGATGCGTGGCATTGGCGTGGCCCCCCGGTCTCGAGGACTTGCATGGAACCACCTCCCTCCACTTGCTAAACCCCCCCCCCCATCCATGCAGCCCCAGCGCACCACCTGGGCACGCGATAGCTGTGCCCCACCGTCCCGTGTGGCTCTTGCCTACGAACGACAATACCAGAGTTTGCGCCCAGTCTAGGTCGGATTGTTCGTGAACCTTCTAGGCCACAACCCCTAAACCGCATCCACTGCACAAGCCCTGGCAGCAGCATTAGCAGATACGGGTTATACTCGCTGATGATGGTGATGAGGATGCATAAATAAAAAAATGTAAACTCTCCGGGCAGTGTGCGACGACTATGATCACCCCGAACAGAGACCATGGAACGTCTAATGACTCAACGCCCCATCCACAAATACGAAAGAGGCATCATCGTCGTCGCCAGAGCGATGCGCACCACTCCGCTACTTTCTGACGCAGTAAATCTGACTCAGCCACCCCAATATAAGGTCACAGTCGTTGCGCTCCATCGGCATGAGCTGTCCGCAAGTTAAGCAAGCGTTGAGCCTGGCTAGTGCTTGTTGGATGGAAGGGCACCCCCGGGAGAGCGAGGGGGCTGCGGGGGGAGCCTCGCACGGTAGCCATGGGGTCGCAGCAACGCGGTCCATTCTTGAATCCGTCTCGTGCGGAGCTCTGAATGTTCGCCATCGTGTACACGTTTCCCTCGGTTTGTGCGATTTCGCGCCGTATATAGGGCTCACCGACTTTTGCGCAAAATACGCCATATTCGGAGGTTTTAATTCACTCCGATACGGTTATGCGGTTGGTCGTGGGACAACATTGTGTACTGTGTGCGCTACTCGGCACGCAGCTGTCCGCGCGCGCGCGGTTTCGCTTTGTGCGCTCACTTGCTTTGAAACGCCTCGACGACCACGACTGCTGCTACTCTCGCACAGAGCGAGGAAAATCTCCCCCTGGGTTATCTCCGGGCACTTCCGGTCCCCTGCCACGCAAAGCCCCTGGGTTATTCTAGATTTAAAGCTTTCGTGACTGCAAGGATCCATACTCTTTGGTTCTATTCGGTAAAGTCACTCCAGCGCTGTCCTCCAGACAGTCTCGTCCCTTCACCTGATGAAGGCCGCTTGTGTTGTGGCCGAAACGTCGTGATTTTTGTTTTTTTATTTTTTACCTACGTGACTTTACCCAATAGAACCAAAGAGTATGGACCCCTGGGTTATCTCCGGGCACTTCCGGTCCCCTCCCACGCAAAGCCCCTGGGTTATTCTAGATTTGAAGCTTTCGTGACTGCAAGGATCCATACTCTTTGGTTCTATTCGGTAAAGTCACGTAGGTAAAAAATAAAACAACAAAAATCACGACGTTTCGGCCACAACACAAGCGCCCTTCATCAGGTGAAGGGACCAGACTGTCTCGCACACAAGTGGCCTTCATCAGGTGAAGGGACCAGACTGTCTCGCAGTCTTCGAGACAGTCTGGTCCCTTCACCTGATGAAGGCCGCTTGTGTTGTGGCCGAAACGTCGTGATTTTTGTTTTATTTTTTACCTACGTGACTTTACCGAATAGAACCAAAGAGTATGGACCCCTGGGTTATCTCCGGGCACTTCCGGTCCCCTCCCACGCAAAGCCATCGCCATGAAAATGGAATTGGCCAAACATCCCAATGCAGGCAAAGGGCCTCGCGTAAAAACGATAATCTTGAGACGCAGCGGTTGAAAGGTCGACAGGCTGACGGACCAACGTGCTCTTTATTATTTTACGTGGTGAAAGAGGCCGTTGCATCTTTATTACAACGTGAATATGTGACCTTTATCAGTTAATAGCTTGTCTCACGAAAACGCGCGGGTTTGCTTCAAGAACAAAGCCGTCTCGCGCTCGAAACTGCGGCAAACATTTGCGTTGTCATCCCCTCCACTTGCCCTCAAGCGAGTACGCGTGCAGGACGCGGTGAATGGAAATGGCAGTGATATTTCTGCTCCGCGCAAAATCCAAACGTAGTGGCTGCAAGTCGCAGGCTCGGCAGCGGAGAGTGATTCACGTCGACCCCTACGTACAGCAAATATGGTCGGAGACGGTGTCCCATGTTATCCGCTGTGACCCCCCCCCCCCCCCACCATACGTAGACAACCGTGTTAATCGGAGGTGTGGAGAAGGACAGCGTGGGGAGGATGTAATGCAGCAGTGCAGTGGATAGACCATGGCTGCCTCTGCTGCTTCTGATCATGATGATGATTGCATGAGCCGGCCGTGCTGTGAGCTCGCGTCAGGACTAGTCGTCCAGTCACTGCGGTGTGCAGATTGAGGGCTGCATCGTACAACGTTGTCATCCGATCTGTCATAACAAACACAGCCCCACTCGCAGTGCGGTTCTGAATGCCACACATATCTTGGCACAGGCGAGTGGGTCGAGATTGGGCGGAGAGATAAAGGTGGCCGGCCGATTTGGTGGGACGATGCCATATCAGAGCGCTGGAGCGGCACCGGTGGGATCACGAGTTAGATGCCAGGATTAAGCCATCCCACGATTAAACCAACGTTCATGTGAACTCAACTCGGTCACCAGTGACTGCACACATTAAAAACAAACCCATCAGGTTATTATTATAATTTGTTTGAGTTTTTTTTTTTTGTATTTACAAAGAGTCTAAGGATTTTTTCTTGACAAGAGGTAGTTTGGTGCTATCCACTTCCATGCTCTGTGTGAGAGATCATTACAAGGTAGACCGCCTCGTGACGTGGAGCCCATACTATACTTGGGATTTCGAATTGGGAACGGGTGGGGGGATGATGATGACAAATCTCTCAAAATCAGATCAAGCCTCCCATAAAGCACGTGACTTCGGTGTGACCACCCGCCGCCCCCTGTGAAAACCATCGCCGCTCCTTCTCCTCCGTGCAACTCACTTCTGCTCGCTCTATCCTTCTCTCTCCTCCATCTCTTGTCTCCCCTCTCATCGCCACTCTTCATCATCCCAGACATTATCTGGGCCCGGTTGTTCCTTCTCCCCCTCCTTCGCCCCCTCCTGCACTGCCGCTCCTTCTGTCTTCCTGCTACCCTCCTATTCTCGGTCTTGGGGAACGTCCGAGCCATTTCTCCCCTGTCAGCCTCTTTCTCTGTCTCCCCGTACCTTGCATCCTTGACTCTACTTCCCCCCTTCCCGTGCTGCGCGCTACGAGTACAACAATTCGTTATAGATATATATATACATCTTTCTTTTTAAAACGACGCCAATTCACGATTAGCGCCACGCTCACCTGGAAAGTCACAGTGGTGGATGCGTCTCTTTTCCAGCTCGGGGTTGTTCCTGCGGTTGTACTTGGTTATGACCTGGCCCATGGCTGCTACTGCCGCCGCCGCCGCCGACGAGGAGGAGGAGGAGGAGCCGCCCTGCTGCTGTACCCCCTTGGTGGCCACCGCCACCGAGTAGGGCGGCGGGGGTTGCGCCGACGACAGCACGGTGATGCGCAGGTCTGCCGGGTGGTGCGGCTGCTTGGGCTGCGGCAGGGCGGCCACCCCGTCGGGGCTGCCCGGCTGCGAGCTGGGCGGCGACGGGGGCAGGTAGGGCGAGGCCTGGCACCCCGGGTAGGGGTAGAGCAGCGGCTGCCAGCGCGAGCCGGGGGTCAGGTGAGAGGTCATCGCGACCCCGCCCACGGAGACGCCGCCACGTTGAGTGCCCCCGACTCCGCCGCTCCCGCCCGGGGAGAGGTCGGTGATGGTGAGGAAGCCTCCGCCCAGGGCCGACGCGTCCACGGTGGAGGTGGAGGAGGCGAAGGCGCCGTGCAGGGAGGGGTACGAGAGAAGCGGCTGCGGGGAGCATGGGGTCAGCACGAGGGGGCTCTGCGGGGCCCGTGCCGCGCACGCGGACGTGCTCACGGGCAGGAGGTTCACGTGCAGATGCCCTCCGACACCGCCACCGCTGCTGCCGCTGATGCTGCTATCGATTTTGATGCCGCTGTTGCCTCTGCTGTTGATTCCACTGCTGCTGCTGCTAGTGGTGGTGATGGTTTTGGCGACGTCCTCGCCGGGCTCCTGTTTGATGAAGGTGCCCAGGGTGTTGCTCACCACCACCGCTTGCGGAGTGCTGAACACCTGGCTGAACTGGGGCAGTCGGTGACCATTGCTGACGATGCTGCTCGCGCCGTCGCCGTCACCGCCACTGTGAGCGGACAACGGCTGCGGTGGCGGGGCCCCTGGAGGCGCCACCACCCCACCGCCGCCGCCGCCGCCGCCTTTCGAGGACACGGGCGACGTGGCTGGCAAGCGGTGCCCGCTGCGGTAGAGCCCCATGCGCAGGTGCCTCAGGTCCTGAGCGACGCTCACGTTGGAGGAGAACTGCTGCTGCTGCTGGTGCTGGTGGTGGTGGTGCTGGTGGTGGTGATGCTGGTGGTGGTGGTGGCCCACAGTGGGGTCGCAGGTTTGTTCCTCAAAGAATTCGTCCACCACCGAGGCGCTGTCGCGCCGGTATTTGTGGCCCGGGTTGGCGCAGTCAGCGGCGGCGGCCATGCCGGGGATGGCGGTGGTGGAGGCGGTGGCCGCGGTGGTTGCGGTGGTGGTGGTGGTGATGAAGAGGAATGCTTCCGGGGAGAGGTAGCGCTCCATCTCCGTCCTCGTCTGAGGGAGGGAGGAGGGGCGGGTATACAACATCAACGTCTGTGGTGGTGACGGTGGTGGTGGTGATGGTGATGGTGGGAATTGAGAGGTTGCATGTTTATCCGGGAGAGCCACGCTGAGGCGGTCACTGTATCGCGCACTTTCAGATGCGCTTCTATGGCCGTCTGGAATGCTCTTCCTTCCGATATTTGCGAGCACCTGGAGCAACGTTCTTTGAAATCTAGATTAAAAACGTATTTATTTAGAACAGTTTTTTGTGCTTAGTTTGTTGTCCTTAGCACGGTTAGCTACGTACGATGCGAAAGAAGTTCAACATGCATACATATACGTAGGACTATCTATCAAAAGGATCTTGCCACTACATTGGAGTTTTAATTAAATATATATTTCAGCCGAATAATGATGAGTGTCAATCTAGATTTGAGTAATGATGAGTGTGTCTATACGTTTTGGAGAAAAGCGGAGCATCCGGAATGAACCCACGCATTGTGCGAGGGGACAACACTCTATCCCCGTACAGATTAAACAGATGGCGATTAGTCACACTTGCTCTGCCGCCTTCCCCTGGCGAGCCAGGGGTATGACACCTCCTCGACACCCACGGGAAGGGGGTTATCACGACATTCGTGCGGTGAACCACCAACCCTCAACTCCATCCACACTCGAGAGGCACCGCGTGCGCGGAGAGAGTCTCGAACACGAAGAGAGCACGAAGAGAACGATTCTGATAGCGAGACGAGTCGAGACGGACACGGGGAGACGAGAACGCCACGGCAGACTGTGACGATCAGAGATCAAAATCAGCCACGGGGAATGGGGCGGTTATCGGAGCGAACACAAAATAGCAAACGAGACTTAACGCCGGAAAATGTAACAAACGAGAGTACAACACGATGTGGGCCTCCGGAGCATCTACGAGACCTGGACTCAATATGCCGTGCTGACACAGTTGGTGTGCATTTATGTCATCTGGATAGTCCGTCATGGGTCTCTGTGAGTCTGTGGGTCTCTGTGTGAGGCTTTGATGGGTCTCATAGGTGGAGAGGATGGGATTGGAAAGGTAGGAGAGTGCGTGGAGGGGAGTAGAGTGAGATGAGAGGGGAGAGGTAGGAGAGTGAGTGGAGGGGAGTAGAGTGAGATGAGAGGGGAGAGGTAGGAGAGTGCGTGGAGGGGAGTGGAGTGCGATGAGAGGGCAGAGGTAGGAGAGCGTGTGAAGGGGAGTAGGGTGAGATGAGAGGGGAGAGGTAGGAGAACGCAAGTCTGTGGAGTATCTTGAAGACAATCTAACGAGACCAAGAGAGAATCGTGACAATTCATCGTATCACCGGAGTTGCGGGGGTGGAGGTTGGGGTGACTCGTTGCACGCGCAGTAGCTACAAGAGCCACTCGGGGTGTCGTTGGGTCGCGTGTTCACTTCATCTCCAGCGCGCGGGAGTGGTGGTGGGGGTGGGGGATCAGCCACGCTCGCTCCACCGCGGCTCGCACCGCCATCTATTCTTGGGCGCCCGGGTAAATTTAGCGCTGCGATTGATTTCCACATTCGCGTGGCAACTCAAGCCGAGCTCTCCGGGCGCACCGCAAACCCCGTCGTGAACGCCTCCCCCGCACCTCCCCCGCACCCCCCCCACAACCACCCCCTCCTTCCCTGCCCCCCCCCCCCCCCCGATCTCCGCTCCGATTTCCCACACCGCTTCCTTATGCTGGCTGCTGAACTCTGCTCGCTCCGCTCGACTTTGCCTGCCAACCCGCCGCCCCCTCACGGCTGTAACCAACCAGGAGATCCATCACAGCCGGGTGTCTGTCCGGGAACGAGAGGCATTGACGTCCCGGCACACCACTTCCAGTGTACATCTCTCGCTCTGGATGCAGCTGCCAGCGGCGTGCGTCCGTCTATTCCAGTCTACCAGCCAACCCGGAAAATATGTAGTGAGAAATTACCCCCCCTCCCCATGTCCCCCCACTACCCCTGCATGGCATGTTACTATTTCGCTGCATCCTGCCTCCCCCGATTATTCGCTTCTTCGCTCTCTCCTCTCTCTCCAGTCTCCCGACTCCCCCCCCAGCGCCCTGCGCAGTCTCTCCAATCCAATCCGCGTCGCGTTTGCGGTGGGGCGACATGAGCGCCGGATTTAACACGGAGCGGTTGTGGCCGTGTTCGTCTCTTATCTCGTTCTCTCCCGTGTGTCGTCTTTGTGTCTCTCCCCTGTGTCGTCTTTATCTCTCTATCTCTTTATCTCTCTATCTCTTTGTCTTTCCACGTCCTTTGGCTGTCACGTTCAAAGCGCGTCTCTCTCTCGGTGTATTCTTTACGGTTCCTCGTCTGTGTGTCTGTGTGTGTCTGTGTGTGTGTCTGTGTGCCTGTGTGTGTCTGTGTGTGTGTCTGTGTGTCTGTGTGTGTCTGTGTCCGCCTCTGTATGTTTCTGTCAATCTGCCTATGTTGCCGTCCGCCTTCTTTGTAACCCGTCAAAATTTCGTAATGTTTCTCTACGCGTGTATGTTGAACTTTTGTCGCACCGTACGTAGCCAACCGTGCTAATCGGAGGTGCGGGGGAAGGACAGTTTCTTTGTGTCCGTCTCTGTATGCGTGCCTCCGTTTCTCTGTGTGTGTTTATCTACCCACCTCTATCTGTCTCTTTCTCACTCCCTCCCCGCGAGTCTCTCTCGACGCTGCCCGTGTCTCTGCTAGCCTCGTGTACGCCGTCAGCCACCGCCCCAGCTTAAAGACTTCGCGTCATGGGCGGTCTGCCCCCCCCTCGCCCCCCCCCCCCCCCCCCCCCCCCCCCAGCGAACTTCTCCTCTCGGCCAGAGCCCAGAAGAGGCGACCGCCCTTGAACTCGAACGATGCTATATTTTGTTTAAGCACTGAACCTTTGTCGTCTTGGGAATTCGGGAAACCACGGCGAGACCGCTGGGGTGGGAGGTGAGACCTGGGACGGGGGTGGTGGTGGGGGGGGGGGGGGGGCGTGGGCTTTAACCGAGAATCCGAGGCGCCAGTCTCTCGGTGTGAGATGAGGAATTGGTTCACGCACCCACGAAGCGCCCCACGCGGGCCCCCCGACTTTTGAGGATCGGGCCACCGTTTTGTTTGGGCGACGGGACAAAGCGGGGGGGGGGGGGGGGGCGAGTTTGAACAAAACAACAACAACATTTAACAATCACTAAAAAAAAACACGGCGGGTCGATCCACGTGTTTTTTTTACCCATACTTCACCACCCCAATAGCAGCGAACAATTGACGATCCCCCCACACCTCCCTCGCCCGGTAATCGAACCCTGGCGGCCGGGTTCGCCAGCGCCGCCGCGCGTCAAGTGGGCCGTAGGCGCTCCCTGCATTCCACACAACGTTCTGACTGGGAGCAGTGGGGACTTCGCTTGTTTCTACATTCCCACGGCCAGGACCAGGCCATCCATCGGGGTGCCACGCGTTGAGGTCGTTGATGAGGGCACATCTGATGGACGCCTCCACGTGGCCTCTGCGCGCGACGCTAATTTCTCGTCTCTCTAATTAATTCGCTTTTACTTTCGAGGGAAATTAACACGAACAGATTCTAAAAAATATACGCCCCATCCCCCCCCCCACGCTCCAACTCCGACTTGGCACTGTTCCCGTGAACAATTGTATTTATTTATATATTTATATTGCTTACTTTCATACAAAAAACAAGTGAAAGACAAAGAGTAAAAATAGAACACAGGTTAAAAAAGGGTGTGCAGGTGAGGGTGGAACCCCATGGGGGCTTTTATACAAGCCACACCACAAAAAATAACAATGTATATACAAAACTGATTGATCAATCAATTAAAAAAGCATACGAATTACCATTAAACATGTTAAACTCAGTGTTCAAAAAAATCAAGTTCCTTCCACGCTCACTACCAGATCGATATCATCATCAGCAGCAGCAGCTACACCGGTCATGATCTATTCACTGCTGGATGAAAGTCCCCCCGAATGATGGCATGAGCAATATGTTGAGGAGCTGAATGTCAATATGGGTTTCTGCTGGCCACGCCGAGAATGCTTCAGCAGAGAGAGAGGGAGGGAGAGTTCGCGTCGTTTGGCTGTTCCTCCTCCTCCTCCTCCGTTGAATGAGCGCGGACTACAGTGGTTAACTTCTACCCAGGTCTGCCTTGATCAACAACAACAACAAGGGCTCTGTATTCGCTTAATAAAGGACGCAGCGCTGGTAATTCCCACTACTATAATGGTTCGACTCTTATTTGGCAAGTCAGCTCGCGTGCATGGTTGATTGTTACATCGCAGGATTTGTCAAGGCATTTGCGACGACCTGGGGAGATCTTCTTTCCAGCGGTGGATGGATCATGGCTGATGATAAAGATGATGATGATAATGATGATGCGACAACGGGGATTTCTAGGGGGCTCCACACTGCGGCCGCTAGCTCAGCACCGCCGTTCCCGGGCTGTGTGGGCGGCGCTCCGGGCCGGTTCCGCGGGCCGGCTCTCCGTGGCTCTTGCGGCTCACCGCTCCGCGGAGTCGCGGCTGCATTAAACCTCGGGGTCTGAACTGCGCCCGCAGAGTGGAATCCAACCCCAATCCTCAGGCTCACCAGACGGGACCTCGAGCTTAGCTCCAATACCTAACGCCCTCTCTCCGCCAGGGGCGATTTTAGAGGTTTGTGGAAGGCGAGGGGGGGGGGGGGCACGCACTCTGCCCCCCCCCCCCCCCCACTTTCACGAACCCCCTCCCAATGTACAAGCATCTCCTCGGCGTAGCTGCCAGAGTTGAAGAAGATATCCTCACGCCCAAGCAGAGTCGTCGAAGCCACCGGTGGCACGTCGCCATCGCTTCCTTCCTTCTGCCAGATTCCACAGCGGCGACACCTGGGACCCCTCAGGAGTCTGTCCGCTGCTCCGGCCACATCACGGTCGTGCCGCTCTTACGCTGAGCATGCTGGGTACGGGGACCCCCAGAGGGAGATGTTGCCCCCCACCTCCTCGTGTTCACCGTGTTCGAGATTCAGCACTGTGATTTTAGC